AGTAATTAATTTATGTTCTATCGTAAAAATCCGTCCAAAACCCCCCAATATGAACTCCCTTTTCCTTCCTTAGGCAGCACAACTACTTAACAACAGGCCAGTTAACTATGTTATGGCATGGGAAATACATTAGAGAAGAATTACTAATGATTCAAGCATCCTGATATTATCCACAACACAAAATGTAGGAAGATGTTTCAGGGTTGTTGGTTGTAAATATTTCTTCCTTTTGTATGAGTTAGAAAACTGTCCTTTGTGTAATAATTTGCATAATGAAATACCTACCTCCTTGGAAAACAAGAATGTTAGCATTCTGGAGTTAGAGGCTATGTGCACAGTACCTGGGGAAGGGCATTATTAATGTGGTCACCCACTGCCAACATTTTAGTCAATAAGAACAGAGTAAGCTGCAATGGGACAACACAGAGCACGTAGACTGATACTTGGAAGAAGATTTAGTGTGAGCAGGAGAACCACTTCCCGATGAAAGCTGTGGGATTGCTATTATTGGGGCTCTTTAAAGTTTTTTGGTTACTTTTTTCATCAGGGATGCTGCAGAAATAAAGAACCCAGTCTTGCTGCAGTTCTGTGGAAGGGATTAGAGAAGCCATGAGACAAGGCCTTTTTCTAACTCACTGATTCTCAGCTAGGGTGCTGGGGCACCCTGGGGTGCCACCAGGTCTTTTGAAGTGTACCCCCAGGTGTGAGGAGAGAAGCAGATAAACTATGTAGATAAACACAGGTTCAGGCTTGTCCCTGCAGGAATGATCCCCCACTCCCACTGCCCGGCCCCTCTGCAAGGAGGTAAACACTGTGGTATATAAAGTAGTTTTTGGGTGCCACTCAGTGCACAAAAGTTATGGGTGGGTGCCTCAAGTTCAATGAGGGGTGCCTCGAGTCCAAAAATGGTTGAGAACCACTGCTCTAACTCATCTCACAATGAGATGTTTATGTTTTTTTCTACAGACTTGTTTAAACCTGATGTTTCAAATGGCCTGAAACTCTGTGCAAGCTAAAGAGAAAGTTTTGTGTCAGCCTGCAGAGGTCACTACAGACTCACTTTGGTTTTGTCTGGAGCTAAACTGGGCATCCAGCTTTTCCAGGACACATACATATTCCAGTGTCATTCAAGATTTTGCTGGGGGCTGACGTTTGACACATAAGGGGAGTCATTAAAAGCTGCCAGTAAGAAGGAAGAGAAGCTGAACCCTAAGAAGAGGCTCACTGTTTGAGAAAAGTCCTCCTGTGGGTTGCATAGCTCATGGAAGAAGAGATCAGAATGTCTGTCAATTAACTGTTGCATGCAGATTTTCTTCCTAGGTCCCTTCCAGCCCTAATGTCTATGAAATCTATGGATGCCTATCGTTCTGGGATCCTTTAACTCTAGCTGATTTCCTGCCCCTGGGGCAGGGGGCTGGACACGATGATTTTCCGAGGTCCCTTCCAGCCCTAATGTCTATTAAATCTATGAAATCCCCAGATAGTTGGTGTATAACTTTTCAGGACTGTATTAGAGACATCTGATTAATTCATATGTCTGTCTTGAATTCAGAAAACCTGAATATACATCAGTTTTAAAAGGCCAGTTTAAGAACCCTGGGCTAATTAGAAATTAGAAATCACATCTTTTGCTTTTCAAACTTTGCCCTGCCGTTGTTGTCTGTCAATATTCTCCATTCCTGTGATGTACTGTAACAAAGCTGTGGGTGACTAAGATTTTGTAGATGTTACCATCTTAAGTGCCTTAATGACATTTCAGCAGCCAATTGCATGTCTCTCCAAGGGGAATTTTTTGTTAGTACTTGTTCAGTTGAACTGTTTCTTCTACCAGTTCCCTAGGAGACTTCCCATTAAAGGGACTGTTGTGATTAAGTGGAAAGGGAACTGCAATAGAGCTTATAATGGAGGCTTGCAGTTGTACTGCAAAATAAAGGTTACTGCAGAAGCAGCGCATTTGGGATGCTGGGGGTGCGCAAACAGGAGATGGAGTCGTAGCACGCCTTGTAGAGCTTGAAGGTGGACAAGGGCAAAGGTGAGGTAGCAGCAACAGACCCTGCAGAAAGGCACAATGCAAACCTTATATGGCCTATATTAAAGCTGTCTACAGCAGCCTCTGGGCTGCATATGGCATCAAGGGGTTAACATGTGGCTCCTGGTCACCTACCTGATCCTTACCCTCTTATTGCTGCAGCTAGTGTCTTTTGGCTCTCCATCCCTCCCTCAGATTTTGCTTCCTGCTCTTGCCCCAGAGGGCAGGGCGGCGCAGCCCACAGTGCCAGGGGAGCGCAGTGTAGTGAGGGTGCCTGCGCAGTGCAATGGCTGCTGATGTGCATGGTTCAGTGGCAGGGGGACTGTCCATATGTGGTGCAGGGGAGGGGTGTCCCAGGAGCCTGTGACACACACTAATGTGACCCCTGGGGTGTGTGGCTCCCAACCACTTAAAAGTTGGACAGCTCTAGCTTATACAAAATATGTGCGCACAACATTGACGCAAGAGAGGAGAAGACAGCTGCTAGTGGGATATACTCAGAGGAGCTTACTCTGCTCAGAGAACTCAATGAGTTAAATGATAGTGCAATCATTCACAGTCCACTGTTGTTCTGGATAACTTCCTGGAGCAACACTGGCCATGCAGAGAACGTGAAGTGTGTTCCCATGCTGTAGGTTCAGGGTGCGGGCCCGGGCGGGCAGGGGCGGGCAATTATTTTGGGTACAGGGCTGCTTACTGAGTTTTGGCAAGCCATCGAGGACCGCGTGACAGGCAGCCCAGGGCAGATAAATATTAATTTTCTAAATTTTTTAGGGGCCTCGCAGGCTGGATAGAATGGCCTGGCGGGCCACATCCAGCCCCTGGGCCACATTTTGCCCACCCCGAGCTAAGTCCTTCCTGCACCAGGCCAAGCAGCCAATGCGCTATCACATGGACACTGTATTCAAGCCCCAAGGAAGAGCCTTGTGGCACTCCTGTGGTGCTCTTTCCTTCATACAGAGTGGCAGGAATGGCAGGACCTACCTGTGGTGGCAGGCACTGAACAGCACACAAACTAAGAGACAGCCCCTGCCGTGAAGAACCCACCAGGTCCATTCCAAGAGCCTTGCTAAATGATACAGAGAAGTTTTATGGTCCCCATTCTCCAGACCAGGAACAGAGATTAAATCATCTGTTCAATACCAAACAGTAAAATTGTTAGCAAAACCAACATTAGAGGCCAGATCTTCTCTGAGACTTAACCTAAGTATTACTGTCCAAATTTTTTTGGCAGAGACTGAATTATCTGCCAAAGTGGTATAGCATGTACCCAGTGAACCTTGTCTGCCTATGTCCTTAGCCAGGGATGGGCAATTATTTTGGGCAGAGGGCCGCTTACTGAGTTTTGGCAAGCCATCGAGGGCCACATGACAGGCAGCCCAGGGCAGATAAATATTAATTTTCTACATTTTTTAGGGGCGCCACGGGCTGGATAGAATGGCTTGGCGGGTCGCATCTGGCCCCCAGGCCACATTTTGCCCACCCCTGCCTTAGACTAACATGACTATAACCAACAACTCCAAAGTCAAACTGTAAAATTTCTAGCTCAGCCTAAGGACAAGCTTTCCCCTTGCATGTTTATTTTGCACCAGTATCTGATGATTTTGAAATTGTTCAGTAGTGAATGGGTAATTCTACCTATATGGCCAGTTGAAAGTTAAATTCCACCCTGCCTATTGCAAGGTTAAGGTCAACAGAAAGGTAATTTTCTGGACATACGCGGTAAGCTATTGCATGTCATACATGGATGTGATTCATAACTTCAGTGTCAGACTGTTTCTGACAGGTCAACCATCACAGCAGTTTATTTTTTCTTTTGGATGAATAGATTAATTAAATCTGATGACGCTCAGCTTCACGGCTCTGTTTCTTTTTTCTTATTATCGGGGTATTTTGCACGAGCTCATTTTAAGACAGGTATTAAATCTTTCAACCCTGTCTTCCCAAAATTGAAGAACACAAAGCACTTGGTTTTATTTTCTTCTGGATTCCTGGGCTCTGTTCATCTGCTGAGTGAAGCACACATTTTTAATCTGGCAAAAGTCCCTGGCTAAATGACATTTGCCCTTGCTGAGGAGCTCCTCAGGCTGTTCTCATTACTTCTCCAGCTCAGTGAATTGTACTGAAGACCAAAAAAAAAAAAAAAGGCATTTTGGGGTTTACAGCATACAGGCAGGAGGCCTGAAGCCTGCTGCATCCATGGGATGCCCTGAATTCCCTGCCGCTGGGACATCAGGAGCATCTCTTTTAACTTCCTTTTTTTCACCAACCCTACTGAACAGGTCACAAATTTAACATTTAAAGATCCATTCGATCCCCTAAAGATGCACAGAAAGGCATTATTTTTGTGTTTTATATATATATATATATATATGTGTGTGTGTGTGTGTGTGTGTATACACACGTTCTAGTCACTGATATTTTATTTCCATGAGCATTTTGTACTGCGCTGGGGTGCTCAGCAGGACTCCTATTGAGACAGTAGCATAGTGCAGCCAGCCAGCTTGGAGTGTAGGGTGACAAGAATCAAGAGCAGGGGGTCATTTTCAAGGCAGGATCCCATATGTCATGCCTGTAGAGGAATCA